TAAAATTTACAGATGGCAAGATGTATATAGAGAACATCTTTACAAATTTCACCAAATACATACTAGAGGGGAAAGAAAGGTTGGCAAAATTATAACATGTAATATCAAATATGCAAGTACCAGTTATGTTTCTATACACTAGTAATGAGCAACCTCAAAATAAAATTAAGAAACAACTTAATTTGGTATTATAAAAAGAATGTAAAATAATATTTACATACTACTAAAAGAAAAGAAAGTTTAAATAGATGAAAAGAGATAATAGTTCCTAAAGTTATTTAAGAATGTGATTTCATGAATGTTATTTCATGAATGTGATTTTATGAATATCAAAAATTTAATAAATATTTTAAGAAATAAAAATCCCAATATTCAAATTTATATGGAATTGGGAGATACCCAAAGGGATAAACCATTTTAAAAAAAGACTGAAGTTGGATTCATACTCCCCAATTTCAAAATTTAATATACTTTTAAAATCAAAGGAATTTGGCACTGGTATAAAGAGATGTATAGAAACTAGTGGAATAGAATCAAGATTTCAGAAATAAAGCAACATGTTTATGACAAAATTGTTTTGAAAGTCTGAACAGGGCTAATGTTACTCTTATCAAGAAGGTGTGATCAGAAGAGCAGAGTCTAATTGATTTTTGACAAGGTACCAAGATCATTCAAAGGGGAGGAATAGTTTCTTAAACAAACAGTTCAATGATGACTATACATCTCCAAGCAAAAGAATCAAGTTGGATACATATCTCTTACCCTAAAGAAGGGGCAGTAAGACCATACCTTTCATTCCCACGTGTCACTCAGCAAACAGTAACAGAGCAACAAGAACAGGTTAGAGTTTGCCTTATCAATAGTTACTGTCACCCACCCTCAGGAAAAGTCCTTTCCAGTGACTAACATTTGGTTAGATTCTGTGATTCTGCAATTCCACTTTCCAAATTTGCTCAGGGCAGTTCCACTGCATTCTTATTAATGCTGAGCACAAGGAAGTCTTTAGCTAAACCATTAACTGTGTTTCTATTTACATTTCTTTTGTTAAACTTAATGACTATTTAAGTGAAGACCGCATGCCTTGATTACAGGGTTCCTCCTCTGATATAAGCTTGAATATACCTTTGAATAAAATATATTTTCAATTACAGTCATTCATGGTCCCAATTCAAGCAAAATTTTCATTAAATAAATAATTAGCTTTGGCAAGAGGATTATGTCTTATGAATGTGCAGTTTAAGTGTGGTAATTGTTCCATGTGGTGGTCTTTACAAGTGACATATTTCTACATATTTATATGTCCAAAGCAAGAAATGCAACCCTGACTCACCAGAGCTTATTTTGTAAAACAAGAGCTTTCTCAGCTGATTAAAACAGATATTCCACACTTCCTCCTGCACTTTGCTTTGCAGAATTTCTGATCAAATCCCACAATTCACTTTAGTGTTGTTTGACTTCCTGGGGCAGATATAGTACTGGGTGTTAAAACCTACAATCACACCAAGATACTTTTCAACACTCCACAGTATTTTAAGAATAACCTCTTCTTACATTCTGTTCCATTTCCTTTGCTTTTGTCATTGTTGCAATTTTCAGTAACAGGCAGATAGTTAGGAGCTGTTGCTTCCTTGAAAATAAACATCTGCTTTCAAAGTGTTCAACTGATGACAGTCTTCATGATGTTCTGCTCATTTTGATGCTAGGCACATTGTTAAGATAAAAGCACCATATATAGAGCAGTCATAAGGAATTTCATGTAGGGTTGTGGCAAATAGCAAGACTAAGAGCTACGTCTCTAGGGAAGAATCTTAATGAAAAAAGTTACTGTTTGAGGACAGGTAGCAAAACAATGATAAATCTAAACTAAATTCAGTCAAGAAACTTGTTATCTATGAAAATCAGTAGCCATTCCTTTGGGGGCAAAAGGAAAACATTATACTGGAATTATTCTTTAAAGATTAATTTTTGCTATAATCAACACACTAGTGATAGTGTGCACTTACCAAAAGATAAATGATAATGTGGAGGTATCAATACTGAAAACAATCAATCCAATCATTTTTCAAAACTGATTAATTTGTAGACATCTATTTGCTTTTCTCACAAATATTCAATATTTTCTATGACTGTGTATAACACAAGGTATGGGCATGCCATGTGGGTTGGACTGAAATAAATCTGTTCTTTAAAAGTAGGATACTACATTAATGAGAATAGTTGTCAATATGGAGGTGATTTGCTGCTAAAGGGACATTTAATCCAATGTAGAGACATTTTCTTTATCATGAGGGGGGAAGGGACCAGATCACCATTGTAAGCTAGTACATAAAGCAAAATGGCATAATGGCGCTTCTACCCATCCCATAATGAACAATACATCTCCACAACAAGGAATCTTTGGGCCCCAAATGTGAACAGTATCAAAGCTACGAAACTCTAACAACTGTTGGGAAACGTATCAATCTTTTAGGTTCCTCCTGTCACTCTCTTTTTGATCATGATCCTACACTAAATTTGGATCTACATATGCCATTTACCACTATAGCCACAACTGTGAGAAGAAAGGAAAAGTTACCTAATTCAGGTAACTCACAGCTGCTATGTCAGCTGTAACTGTTAAGAAATTTGAATACAACAAACTATGAAGGCAAACCAGCCTATCATGTGGCTAGATGTGGGCTTCAATGAATTGGTTGCTTTCACTTTGGCTTTGAACCTCTTTTGTAGATAAGGCTTTTTGTTGTAAAACACCCTGGGAGAGGCTACCCGATATACACTCTCAGCCACCAAAGTAGAAAGGTGAAATATTATCCTATCTATAGAGACTATGAGCCAACAAGCCCCAAGGCTGACAAGAAACCCAAACAAACCTTGGGCATCTACTTAAATTAACTTCTCACAGTGAGAGAGCATCCACTAAGTTTGTTGTGGAATGTATAGATTCTAGAGTTTTGAACTGTTGTTTGCTTATCATTTTGTTCATGAATTTGTTAATCTGAAAGCGTTTAGAGAATAGCATAGAAGCTGAGAGAGATAGGCTCAAATAGAGAAATTTTGGTCTTAACCATAATCCATGGAGAAATCACCAAAATTTGAAAGCACATGTAATTCCTGTATATTAAAGACAGTCACACTATGTAGAGGCTCTTTGAAGAAAACAGCTTACAAGAACAGGGATTTCCTTCTGGCTGAGTGTGCTGAGCTTGGAGAAGAATCCTCAGCTGTAGGGCAGTTTAGCCAACTGAAGCTGGAACCCCCAAACCCTTGTCCACAGCCAGCATATTCTACTTACTTTGCAAACCAAAGGAAGGAGTCTCTTAATTACGACATAGAGCTTGCATGCATAGAAAGCTGCATGTTAGAGTTTACTGGGTCACAGTAAAAATGCCTAAGAACAGGGTGAAAGGGCAGAAAGGTCTCAGAATCAAGCAAATAAAAAAAAAACTATCCTCTAAATCAGTTTTTAGAAACACGTCCTGGAGTGTTTAAACAGTGAAACCCTTACCCTTGCCAGGCTCTGGACTCTTAAATGCCTCAAAGTAATTAAGACCTTTCTTTTTCAATGTCTGCCTTGCACACAAAAGCTTTATACTCCAAGATACTGAACCACCTCCTTGCTAGGAGATGAAAGGACAACAGGAAAAAGGTGGGACCCACAAGGAAAGTCGCTACTTCTCCCAGCAAACTCGAGCAATCCCAGCTGAAGAGGAACTGTAATGGAACCCTCAGCTGTTTAGGCGAGGGAAGCAGTTCTGGCTTGCTCAGAAAGTCTGCTCAGGCTCACAGTGTGTGTTCCAGGCGACAGCACGAAGTACAGCTGAGCTTTTTAAAGCTGGGGTTGTTCTGAGAACGCGGGCAGGGGAAAAAACCGTGAAGCTTAGGGTACCAGCGTGGCATCCAGAAAAGCGGCGCTTTGCATGCATTCCATTTTCTAGAGAGAACTGGGAAAGGAGACTAAGCAAAGATCTGGTATCAGGCGGGAAGGGTCTTGAGACATCGCAGGCTAAGGGACCTAAGTGCTTCTAGGTTCAGGTAGAAGTCTCAGGCTTGTGGTGGGGGTGGGGCTATTCAGCCGGTTACAGAAGCATTTTAAAGGGTTGACATTTGGAAGCCTTCAGAACAGGGGAAGGGGTGCAAAGGGGTTGCAGAGTGAACAGAGAGGTGTGTCAAGAGACCTGAAGACGCAAACATCTAAGAGTCTCCCAAGTGTCCAGTGACACCACCCTTCCCCCACTGCCCTCCCGAAACACTGTGGCCAAAACTAAGCAACTTGGCTCCTCATCCTACAAGACTATCAACCTCTGCTTCAAGTCTAGCCTGGATTTCGCGCTCCGGGGCTGCCGGCACCAGGTAAAACTGGATCTGACAGATAGAAACCGGCTCCAGAAAATGCCAGGTCCCTGCAGACACAGAAGCCCCCCTGTTCCACTGTCCCGCGGGCCCCAGGCCCTCGCTCCAAACTGAGCAACTCCTCTTCCTCCAGGATAACCCGTACAGTCCAGCCACCACTAATACAGAGCCCTAGTTGAGATGGAGGGGTAGGGGTCACTGACCAAAACAGGAGACACTTGGATAAATGGGTAACAGGGAGATTCTGTAAACCAGGCGCCAGAGGCGCTCCTGTACCCGCTCCCCTCACCCGCGCTCAGCCTCCCCTCGCCCCTTGGGTCTCTGACACCACCCAGGAGAGGGGGAGTCTTGGGGGAACCAAAGAACGAAACAGAAAATTCCGTACCGAGGGGGGAGAGATGAGACGGTGGGACGGGGCAGCGGGGGGCTGACTTGGGGCTGCGGCTGCGGCTTGCGGCTTCTTTCCACCCCTGGCCACCGAGCTACAGAGCAGGGAGGAGCGGCTGCCCCTGCAGGCTGCCCCGTCCTCCTGCTTGCCCTCCCCCCTGCCCGCCTTCCCAGCCCCGCCCGCCTCTGCTTCAAGGCGACCGCCAGCTAAGCTTTGGCCAGGGGCTGGGGGAGGTGAGAGGTGCTTTCTCCAACCACTGTTCCTGTCCTCCCGCTCCCCCCCACCTCTCACACACACACACACACACAAACGCACAATCAACTGCGACGGGTTCTGCACAGCTTTCAGCCACCCCCAAAAAGAGAGAGGGAAACGAGCAGCAGATGAGAACCTGGAGCAGATAGAAGAGAAAAGAGCTCAGGGTTGGACATTTTGGAATCTAGGGGTGGGGAGGAGAAAGGGAGCGCGCCTTCTTGATTTCCCCTCCCCACCCCTCTTTGCTATTCTCTCCCCTAGGCTGGTATAGGATTTTCCTGAAGCAGCAGCAGTAGAGAACAGAAATCTTTAGTCTAGAATAGGGAGTTGAAGAGGTGGTTAGAGCTCCCACCAGCTACCTAGCTTGAGGGTGCCTGTAAGAGTGTGAGTGCGGCTCCCCTCTGCACACACCCCTACACACACACACACACACACACACACACACACACACACACACACGCACACTCCTCTTCATACCAGGGTGTCAGCTATCCTCAATTCCCCGGTGTTGGCTTCTCCCCTTCCTCTTATTGTTTGTGGCTTGCCGCGTGAAAGGGGTGCGTGTGTTTGAATAGGCTCAGGTTGGGAGAGAGAGCTGAGAGAGGACTTGTGAGAGCAGAGCAGGAGCACCGCTGGAGCGAAGAGTTTCGGGCACTGGCGAAGGCGGAAGGTGAGGAGGTCTGGCCAGTCAGAGGGAAGTTTGGCAATAACTGAGGAGCAAAGAGGGAAGCCCAGGTAGGAGTCAGTTCTTGAGCCCCTCTCAGTACCCTGATCCCTTTGCCTGTGCTCCACCAATCACCCACCCACTCGGTAGCCTCCAGGCCCGGGACTGTCCCAGGCGCTTGCCCGTGAGCACCGCGGAAGAGGAGTCCAGTGAGGCTGTTGTACCACGCGTCCTGGTGCACTGACTCCAGACAACACAGATCTGAAGAAAGCTCTTGGCCTTGGGTAAGTTGATAAAAGGCGCGGGTGCTGTCCTATTTGTTACTGAGGAGCAGCAGCGAAATGAGGCTTGAATGAAGGTGCTGAGCTGCTGTGGGATAGAAAGGTGCTTGCTGGCTGGCAGACTGTAGGCTGGGGTGGTGGGATGCAAAAGGGGACCAGCAACAGATTGTTTGGGACACCTGGGAGAGCCATGCAATGGAGGAGTGAGCCTTAGGAGATTTAGGACAAGATACTGTTGGCTCCTACCAAAAGCATCGTTTTCATTAGCAATGTCCCCCTGAATCAGAGCCTGGATAGTGATTTACTGTGGTTTCCTGCGGCAGATACCATGCGCCCACCCCACCCTCCAGACATCATGCTCCCAGACCTCTTTAAAATGGTCCTGGGATGAGTGTTAGGATAAAGACACTCCATCTTCAGAGACAGCCCCCAACCGCAGAGAACCAAGAAGCTGATCCATGGGAGGGCTCGGGGACCAGAGCTCCCATTTCGCTTGCTGGTTTTGTAACCTTCTAACTTAAGTTCAGTTTACCTGGATTCCTTTAAGGAAGCCAGAAATGCAAAGGGGGAGGGGTACCAGCCAGATGCATGCTCTGAAGTGGACGCTGCTCTGCAGCATAAGCAATGACTGCAACAGTCACAATCATGTTCCACATACTCGGGTTCTGAGCTGAAGTCACAGATCCTGGCCTTTCTGTGTCATCTGTGAGAAAGACTGGGAAGAGGTCTTTTTCCCTATTTCCAAGGTGGGATGTTTAGACCACAGCACACACCTGGTGATAGCGAAGTGTTTAGTAATATTAGCATTCCCTTATGAAAAGCCTGCAGCCAGGAAACCAGCCTGGAAGACAGAATCCCTGAACTTTACCCGAGTTTATTGTATGAGTAGGAGAGGCAAAGACTGATCAATCGTGTTCTACTTAGAGATGGTGTATGTTTTCCCTGGCTTCAAATGAGTAATAACTACTGTACTCACATGCTACCCAGACCCACTTGTCTATTGCCATATTATTATCTCATGGTCTTTAGCTGGAATGACATGTTGACATATTAGTATTCCCAATCACCTATTTTTTTGTTTCTTGGATTTGGGGGTATTCTACAGACCATCTATATCACTTATCATTTCCCAACAATTTTAAAAGCTGAGATTTAAATGGTTTTGAATAGTGCCTTTCACTAATCTAGAAAATCTAGTAAATTAAAAAGACATGGTAGTGCATTCACGTAGTGCCAAGTTAGTTTTAAAGCAAATGCTTAGCCTGAGAAAGGGGAACAATAAAAGTCTGTAAGGTTGAACAAAGAACTGAATGGCACTTGAAACCTGTTTTATCTCCAGAGTGGTGCTGTTTTCATAAACAGTATGTCTATATTCATAAACTATGTGCATGGGCTATATATCTGTATATAGATACAGTGATTTTGATCTTCTGTGTGGACATATAGTTTGCCAAGGACTCCAATCAACTCCATCAGTCTGGACCCTATTTCTGTAGAAGGGAGGGTGCTCAAAGTGTGCTTTCAAAAGCATCCAGGCTCTTTAATTGAACTTTCTATTTATTAGATGCTACTGGAATATAATGAATTACCTCTTTTCAACTCGGCAAACAAGGGAAACAGATTCTGCATTAAGTGGAACTGTTTATGTTGCACCAGACAATTTGTTCTAAAGCATACTGCCGAGAGACACAGAAAGAGGATTACCCAGGTCCAACCTGAAAAGGTGACCATGCTGTTACTTTTCCCTCATTCTAACACAACTCTCTTCTTGGCTAGGTGAAAATAGCAAGGACAAGATTACGGATGGGTAGAAAAGAACCAACAGCTTCATGATTAGGGAAGAAGTCAGTATCAACAAGAATGAAGCATAAGGTGTTGGGTATATGCTCTATTCTTGGTTATGTGAGTATCTGACTGCTGAAATTGTCTGGATCTGTGATTACTCAGGGGACAAGGAGATAGGCAGCCGCAATGAGTCGGAACCAGTGTAGACCCAGCTTCCTTGATACAGATTGACCTGGCTTTAGCATAAGCTTCAAGAACAGACATGGACTGGGTGATATCTGCCCTCCTTTCCAGATATAAGATCTGTAATTCTGATTCTATTCATTCTAGAAATAACAACTAAAACAAGATTGTCACACAGAATCACAGGAGGCAGGGCAGGAAAACAGAGGTTCGGAGTGGGAAAGAACAGAGGAATAGGAGAGCCAAAGACGTTTGAAAACACATGGAAAGAAAATCGTCTAGGAGTTTGCTTTGGCTTGAAATGGAATTAGTTCAGAAAATCACCTCAGATGTGAAGTACTGTAAAACCGCCTGCAATTTGACTTGTAAACACTGAGTAAACAGTAACAGAATTCCTCATAACCAGAGAATTGGGGACCTTAGAGAACATTTTCAGTGTTGTCAGCTCATTGCACTCCTTAGCATACTGAACTCCAATCTACTAGCCACTCAGGTGTTTATCAAATGAATATTTCAGACATGTCATGCTACTTTCAGCCTGCCTGGTTCCAAATCTTCTAATTTCCTTTTTGCATGGCTACATTGCTGATGAAAAGGAAACAGACTACTTCTTCTGCAGAGATTTCTATTTGCCCCTGAAAACACAAAGCTGTTCAGATGCCTCCTTCTAACTGGTGGGAAATGGGGGCCCTTGTCATACTTGAAGAAGTGCCCTGTGCCCCAAGATGCCACAGACTCAGTCCTGCAATATCATTTTCCAAGACTTTAGGGAAAGATGTGACAAATTTTGCAGCCTAGATTCAGAAATTATGCCTGTCTTGGCAGAAGCTCATCGGTCCCAGACGAGGACTACAATGAAGTTAGCCCTTATTTCTAGAGATGAGGAGCTGATGAATCTTCATGCCATTCTTTCTAAAACTTAGAACACTTTCCTCTGTTGATGGGCCCTTAAAGCTCTCTGTCCAACAAGACTAGCATACCCATCCTGCCAGCAAGGAATGATTCCTGGATGACTCAGATGTGGTCTCATAAACAAACATGCATTTTACATCATCCTCAACTGAGTGAGAACAGATTGTTTAAAGAATAAAAGCTGGTGGGGCTCAGAAAATTACAGTTCACTGGGTCAAGGGAATTTTAGAAGTGCCTCGTGTTTGGTTCTTCTCTTAATGCACAGTTGTCCCTTGGACCCTGACAACCAGTGAAATTACCTCCAGCCATTTTACATTGCAAAAATAAGATTCAAAAGATGACGAGAAAAAGACAGGTTTAATATCTTCAATTTTCTTATGAAGAAGTCGGTACTTAGAAAATAGAAATAGCTTGTTTAGATCACAAAAACAGCTAGTGGCCGATCCAAAACAAAAACTCTGGACTATCCTCTCATACTGAATAGCTTTGATAGATAGCTCTAGAAACTGACTGAATTCTAAAACCAAATTTGCTATCATTATATTCTAATTTCTTCCCATATTTACAGTTATATGTTTTATATTATATAATGTCTAGTTTGTTTGGTTTGAAACAAAGTCTCATGGTATAGCCTAGTGTGACCTTGAACTCTCAATCCTCCTTCCTCAACCTCATTAGTACCAGGATCCCAGGCATCCTTTCTGTAACAGCCAGCTACTATTGCCTTACCTCTGTAATTTATCTTCTCACTTAACACCTCTCTTCAAAACACACACCTGGACTGTTAAGATGTTTCAGCTGTTAAAGGGACTTGTTAACAAGCCTAACAACTCAAGTTCAACTCCAGGGACACACATTGTAGAAACAATTGATTCCCGTAGTTTTACTCTGAACTCCACACCCGTACAGTAGTGTATGCACTTCCCAATGCATAAAATAAAGAAACCTATATTACACACACACACACACACACACACACACACACACACACAGAGAGAGAGAGAGAGAGAGAGAGAGAGAGAGAGAGAGAGAGAGAGAGATCAAAGCTGACACAGCATTAACAGGTTATGTTTAGAACCAAATAATCTACAAAATGAGAGAATTATAACACTTTGTGGGATGATTTGTGTAAAATAATGATGTAAATAAAATTTTAATATGAACCAAGAACCCTGTTTAAAAAGAAACAATGGGGCAAACATACCATATATAAATCTCTATCTAGGCTGCAATGATGATTTCTTCAAAGAGCAAACATTTGACATAAGACAAAAGTACAATGCTTTATCAACATACTTTACAAAGGTGAGCTCAACTGCAAGAATTAATACCTACGTAGTACTCAGTTTTTTGCCATTTCCCATGAAGTTTCCCATTTAAACTTTCTAAAAAAACATTATGAAATAACTACATTATCATGCCTATTTCATAGATGAAAAAGTATCTGAACCTCAAGGAAGTGATGTAGCATACCCATTTTATATACCTTAATGACTTAAGTGTATGCTATACATGCCCCCATTTTATAGATTAATAATAGTGACTCCTACTTCATCTCTACCCATAGTAATACCTACTTGCACATTTTGCTCACCTGTAAAATATGGTTGGTATAATATATTTAAAGTCCAATAAAGTCACTATGCATTTGAATCTGTAAAGACTTAATTGGCATATGTAATCTGGATAGCCTAATTGTAAAGACACAAAAGCAGAGCATGATCCCCAAGTGCCAGTCTTTTGATGTGTAAGATATCCAAATGCTGTTGGAATTGAGGTTGCCCAACATGCTTCGACTTTTCAGGTAGATCAAATTCTTATGGCATTAGTCATCTTAGACCATACAGACAGCTATTTTCTAAGATTTCCATGGACACAATAGTAAACAATACACATTTTTCAATTGTTGAACATCTTTGTATTAACTTTCTGTTTCTGCTATGACAATTCAGCACACACTTACTAATCTAATACTTGTTATTAATTGATTGTTTATTATTGTTCATGTCATTTTATAATCCCATGTATCAGAACTCTGCTACGAAGCTCACTGGACTAAAATCAAGGGGTCATCAGGACAGTATTCTCTTCCAGAAGTTCAAGGAAAAAAGCAATTCTCTTGC